TTTCTTCTGCAAAAAGGGCATTTTTTTCATGGCACCCAAACTCAAACTTAGATCACAAACTTTTTAAACTGAAATAGAAGCAGAGTAGAGCCAGCATCATGTGAGGTGTTGCTCCAGGTGTACGGGATGCTGGGGATGCTAATACAAGTAATGTGGTCCTTTTAATCGTAGATGAAGAGGTGTCTGCATTATAACAACCACATCAACCTGACAGGTCTAGGTTGGACTCCACTAAGAGCACGCCTCACTTGTCAAGAAACCATTCTGTGATTTTCTCGGCCAGGATTTCAAATTGGTTTAGGGAAAACGAGAGTTTCACCTTTCTTTATTTTTTGTGTCTGCCACACACCAAAAGTAGTGTGGCATACAGAGCCAGCTAGGTTGAAACACCTACCGCATATTCAGACACATGTTTAACGTAATGTAAATTTATCACCGTTTATGTTCAGAGTGCAGTAGCAAAAATTTAGTACTGTTACTGGTTCCCAGGTACCTCGCACCTGGAATACATCAATTCAAATTTAAAATGTACCTAATCTCCATCTAGAGGAGTCATCTACTTGGGCCAGCATAAGGCCCACCTGTGCAATAATCATGCTGCTGAATCAGCATCTTGATATGCCACTAGGCCTGTCACGATAACAAATTTTGCTGAACGATTGTCTCAAAACTTATTGCGATAAACAATAATATTGTTTGAAGACCTTTTTACTCTGATTTAATTGAAATGACGTAATAATGCATGTGATTTCCTGCCAAAGATATACACAATTTATTTTCATCAGAACACTTAACACTGCAACTGGTTAACAAAATAAAACAATAAATAAAAATCAAATGGACTCTCAGTCTCTGTTAACTAAAAATACACTTGAATAAAAACTAAACACAAGATAAAACCACAATGGAAATAAAAACTACATTCAACCAAAAGAGTACAGACAATGAAGTCTGTAGTGGAATCGCCGTTTGTGATATGTATGTTTTCCTGGGGAGTTCATACTGTCTATCAAATGTCTGCAACATTTTTCGAAATGCCGGCTTTTCAACAATAATAAATAGTAGCATCTCTTTAGCAATTAAATGAACTACGCTGTCTGTGAGCGTGCGCCACTTTGCGCCGTCCTTTTTGTATGCTACCTGTCGATTAATTGCTTCAGTGATGGTGGACTGTCGCAGATGGGCCACCAGGGGTACTTTTTATCCCTAGCTGAAGAAACTTTGCTGGGTGGTTGTGCTTTAGGTGCAGGTGTAGGTTGATTGTATTGCTGCTGTCAGTTGCTGTTTTATGACAAATGCGACATACTGGCTCGCATAGGTTTAGCGGTTTGCCTCTCTCTTTTGGTTTGAATCCGAAATATTCCCACACTGCGGCTGTTGCGTTCGGCTTTGAAACCAGTTCCATTTCGAGCTTTTCCACCCTAACATAAGATTTCTCATCAATAAAAAAGAGAAAAACACAGGCAGAGACGATATAGCCGATAAATTAAATGACGTGGATAGTTTTTATTCATCGTGCGATTAATTGATTTATTGATTATCGTGACGGGCCTATATGCCAAACCTGTAAGGTGGATCAACTGTCTTAGAAAAGGAGTATGAACCTCAAATGGTTGCTTCCACATATTTAGACAGGTAAGTGAACAGTATTATTTGTGAGCAAGAGACCTTTTGTAAACATAGAAAAAGTCTTAGATCTTAAAGTTCATCTCGTGAAAAACACAGCTACAATAAAAAGAGTTTTATTTTTTTACCCTCTTTGTTCAATGTAAAACTTAAAGACCAGGGAGACAGATGTCTAGTTTAAATAGTGTGTAAATAAACATAGCAAAATGACCAAAATTAAAACTAGAAGGCCTAGATCTCAATCTGAAAGGACCTGCTCAAAGTCTGCAGTGAAACACAACAGCAGGACCGCCCCTCCCTAGAGTCCTGGTCAATATAGCACCAATATCCACAGTTTCCTTCGATGTTAAGGCCCCCCGATGGTCAGTCCACGTTAAACAGTTTCATCAAAACGAATCAATCCTTGCAGGTTTAAATAACTTCCATCCGAGACAGCTTTATCAAACATTTGCAATATATTAAGACGTCCACAGGTGAAAATGCAAACACACATGTACACAAACCAACAAACATTAATGCAGACAGGGCAGCTAAAGCAAGGTCAGAGATAAAGAAAAAGATTCCTATCAATGCTAAAGGATATTGAAGCCTTAATATGAAAATAGATATAGTCTGCTGGCCTTACGTTGCAGTGTTAGCTTTATTTGTTTTTACGATAGTGATCTTAGAAAGGCAATAGCTTAAAATAAATAGTACATTATGCCTCAAAGTAAGGCTGCTTTCCCTGCTTGCAAAACAAAATGTAGACTTGATTTTTTTAGGAAGATTAATTGACACATTTCTGCTGCACTGAATACTTTCCTCATGCACTGTATAGGTTTAACAGCCTTATTTCACCAAATTATGACAATGCAGGAAATGGCTGTTTTATTTTTAATTGGAGATAATTCATTACAAAACGAAAACTATCCCATTTAAGTTAGTACTCACATTCTTTGCAACAACACTCAAAACTGAGCTGAGGTGTGTTTTCTTTCCACTCATCATCCACTGATTAAATTAAAATAGAACCCCGGCATCTTGTCTCTAAAGAAACAGGCACTACTAATTACCTGGAAGCAATCACCCAACTGTGAAGCAAGGTGGGGGCAGCAGGATGCCGTGCAGATATTTTTTCAACAGCCACAATTTCATGATTTATCAGCATAGCAGAGATAAAATCAGCCAGATATAAAGAGATACTTTATAAGTTAAACTGTGGCTGACTGGAAACTCAAACAAGTGAGACAACAATGATTATGATGACCACACTGCCAAATTACAATGGCAATTTTATTTGTCTGTCCTTCACACTCACTGCATTTCCATTAACCATCAAATTGAGCAAATTGTAATTAGGAAATTAAATTTCTCTAAATGGAAGCACAAAAAAAAGTTAAATTTTTCGATAAAACGTTTTAATGCTTCAATCGTATTAAAATTATTAGATTTTATAAAACTGCAATGTAGCTTGAGGACATGAATATTGTTATACTTTAGCTCACATTTGTAATGGAAATACAGTATTTACTACAAGTATGTTGACCGTTTACTCTAGAGTTTTATTTCCTTGTTTTTGTTTGTCCAGAGCCCATTGTCGCAGGACTTTATTGTTACGTGGGTATGTTCTTTTACTATGTGCATGCGTGGATCTGCGTGCTAGCTTAAAGTCTCTCTTCCCTTTAGTGTGGCGGCAAACCCATTTCAGCATATCACCTCCACCTACAGCGCTGGAATGAGATAATTAGCGTCTTACGCTTGTGAAATGTAATGAGAATAGTGCCTTTGTGATTTGCAAAATGTGCTTTGTTAAACTGCGATCATTGCCTCTGCCAAGGAAGTTAAGTTTTTATAGAAGTTTGTATGCGTGTCGGTTGCTTTTAATGACATTCTTATCAGAGGTGTCCATCATGCCAATGAGCAACCCAGTAAATTTTGGCGATGATCCACATCATAATCTGGATACAGGAGTTTTTTAAAAGATTATCTAACATCATGAGGTAAAGATATTTGGTGGAAAAAGCAGTTCCCAACTACACCAGAGGGTGGCGGCACCGACTATTGACAGCTTTACCATTGGACTCAAAAAGTCTGGAGGTATTTTACTGAAGTCAAAAACACAAGAAAAGGGAAGAATGCTGGTTTGTTAGTGGGATTTATTGAAAATGTAGGTACGGGTTTTATGATAATTTTTACCAGCGGTGCGCCTCATGCCTAGGAACAATTCATTTATATTTGGTAATCATCCAGATCATGTGAAAATTTTAACTTTAGGTGTAAGTCACAATATGGGGCAAAGTTTGCTGCTTAGTGGAGGTCTGTGCTCTCGGAGAGCCCAGATATAAATCCAATTGTAAAGACCTACAAAAGTCTGTCTACCAACCCAACCCATACTTTTAAAAGGATCTGCCAAGAAATATTCCCAAGCTAGGTATGTCAAGCTTGTAACATGCAGAAAAGCCTCTAATACAGTAGCTGCTCCACAAAAATATAAAGATCTAGTTGTGAACACATATGAGACATTAGATTAAAAATCCATTTTCAAAAATAAAAAAGTTGGGTTCACCCATTATTATGTGTCGGTGTGCAAAAATTTTAGGGAAAAAGTTGGAATAATTTTGTAAGTTAAGAAAGAGTGAAGGTAAGCCAGCACTTTCAGGTGGCACTGTATATTACATACTCTGACCTGAAAAATGTAGGCTTCGTGATGTGAAATACATTTCTCTACTTTTTGATCTGTTCACTTAAAACTGCGTATATGTGGAGTTTGGGAATTAAGTCTTGGGGCGCATTTGGGAGTGTGTTTCTGGTAGAAGCAAAGAAAGGCCTCTAAAGGGGTTACTGCAGTATTACAGCATATATGTGTAAAGTATCCACTACACCAAATCTGATCTTAGTCTGTGTTACAGTCATAAGAGGCCGACACGTTGCCAGTAAAGATGTCAACTTTTCCTGCTTCAATAAGGTGTTCCTTTTTTTAGATGTGGGCTAAAAAGACACAGTAGGTGGATTTATCTCGTTTTGTTTCTAGACTTATTGCACCTGACCCTGGAGGGAAGAAAGAAATTCCCATTATGATCTGGTGACCAAAGCATTCGTACAATGTAAAAGTGCTTTTCTACCATTTATTCATATCCGACTGTGATGTCTTCTCTTACGGCAGGGGATTTCAAGACATTACATGGCCAGTATTGACCTACGTGTGACAACAGGATTGAAGAAGAAGAAAAACATGAGATGATGGATTGATGGATGGAGGGACTGAGTGATGGATGGAGGAGAAGGAAATGGACTCAAAGTTTCCATCCTTACATCACAAATCAACATATTTTGCTCCCCTTTGGGAATAAAACCTGGGATTGATTTGTGTCTGTCTGAATTATCCTTCAACTCACCCTTTCTTGTCTTTACTTTTGTCCTTGTCTCTGTCTTTTCCTCTGTCTCGCTCCCTCTCTTTGTCCCTGTCCCGGCCCTTACGCCGACTTCTGTCCCGCTCTCGGCTGCGGCTCCTCTTGCGGCTATGGCTTGTTCGGTGGCTGCGGCTGTGGCTGCTGCTCCTGCTGCGAGACCTCCGGTGGCGAGAATGAGACCTGAAATGAGATATGATTACTTTTAGAAAATTTAGATGAGATGAAAATTTGCTAAAAAATCCAACATTTAAACACCTTATACCTTTAGAGATTTAGTCTGGGTTAGATTTTTTTTTGCAGGTGTGTTTGGTAATAGTAACATGGAACATTTTACAAACCAAAATGTAAAAAACATTGATGAATTTGTTTTCAACTTCTCTGAGTCTATAGTTAATACCTTTTAAAAAAAAAATTTAAATCATCTTTCTCATAAAGTTCAGGCTCAAACTGATTCTAGGGAGAAAGTCCATGACCATCGCTACCAGTCCATTCTGAATATCGGTCTATGTAACCCTTTAAGTTGTAGCTCTGGCTGTATGCTTAGGACTGTTTTACTGCAACATGGTGAACCTTCATCTTAGTCTTGCATTTTTGCCATCTCTAACCGATTTTAATTTCTCCAGATTGCAGTATCCCTTTACCCATCATGCATATCACCAAGAACCACCTAGACTGCTAAAGTTGTTGGATCATTATTGAAGTATTCAAACTCGTCAAGTTTATTTTCTCATTCCATTCCATTTTCTTCCGCTTTATTTGGGGTGGGATCGCGGAGGCAGCAGTTTAAGCAGAGATGGCCAGAGTTCCCAATCCACACATACCTCCTCCTGTTCTGGGGGGACCCCCAAGGCGACATAAGGCCAGCTCAGAGACATAATCCCTCCAGCGTGTCCTGTGCCTTCCACAAGGCCTTCTCCCAATAGGACATGCCTGGAACACCTCCCGAGGGAGGCGAGTCGGTGGAGAGTCCTTGTCTCAAGTGGAGGAGTTCAAGTATCTTGGGGTCTTGTTCACCAGTGAGGGACGGATGGAGCGTGAGATCTTTAGGCGGATCAGTGCGGCGTCAGCAGTGATGCAGTAGCTGTACCGGACTTTCGCGTGAAGAAGGAGCTGAGACAGGGGCAAAGCTCTCGTTTTACCCATCGATCTACATTCCCACCCTCACCTTTGGAAATGAGATCTGGGAACTCCTTAAAGGGCTGGTTATACTCTCGGCAGTGTGTCACACTGAGCTTGTTACAGATATTTTTGATTTATGACCAACATTGAAGCGTGGTCTGCGCTATGTTACTCCACGCCACAACACAAGAGGGACTATCAGGAAGTAGCTGTGGGTCAAGATACGGCCGAGGCGGTGAGGAATAGGGGCAAAATTGTGCGACAACGGAGATGGAAAAAGGCGGAAAAAAGGGTCCCAGCGTTCTCGTTCTTTTAGCTGGTCCAACTTCACAAGTCTTTTTCCACAATGGCGGTCATACAAACAAAACAACCCGGTAAGGTGCCAAAAAGGAAATACACATAGTGTAGAGCAGATGTATATTAGACCAATCAGAGGCCTCCTGTCTGCGGCACTGTCTGCGGTCACATACAATTTTGGAGAGGTGCACCAGAGTGTCTGCGGAAGGGGCGGGGGAATATTTACGTTTACTGCGACACCTACGCAGATGACCTGGTTTACGAGTATAAACCAACCTTAAGTCTATTTTTTATATGAAGCAGCATAAAAACATTAAGGAAGGCAAAAAAGCATTAAGGTGTTCCTTTACCAAACAAAGCCACAGTTTTCAAAAAATATGCTGCGGAGAAAAATATTGTTCCTGATATTTTGTCCAATAACAGGTAGAACATTCAGTATTTCGAGAAGATTTTTCTTTGAGCACAAAGAAGAAAAATATTCAGACCTTTAAACTGTTTAAATTCATGTATTGTTGTGATGACATTTCCATTTCCTAATGTTATGGTGTTCTGGTATGAATACTTTTGCAAGGTACCTTATATTTATTTATTAATTGAGCTAAATTTATCCTTTTTATCGTATTTCTCTCTATGGTCTATTTGGTTTCTATATGAATTACTTTGTAGAAGTATTTACAAGAGAGTTTAAATTACTGCTGTTCGGGCAGTTTCATTTACCTGGATGTAGAAGGCAGAAGTGGCAGAAAACACAAATAAACAAATGGGCAAACCTGACTTTAGATGCAGAACAGAACAGTCGCTGTGGTGTTAGATGATTTTCCTTCTTCACAGTCAAACACTGGAAGCAAAACAAGGCTCAGTGTAATAAAGACACACAGCTGGATTTTTGGGAAACACAACAGACCTTAAATCTAAACCAAATTGATTAAATCTGCTGGAACAAAATTAAATCAGCAGCATATAGATTGTATTATGCCATCACAGCACTATAATGTTTGCATCCCTTAAACCACAAAAACGATACTCTATCTGATCAAATTTCCCAAAAGTGGAAGGATTCATCGTTTATTGCATGAGTGTAATAATAGTTCTATACAAACCAATACACCATAAAACACACACACACACACAAACGCTGCAAAAATGGAGCCAATTAGAGACGGGCTTGGAGGGAGACCTGTCCTCAGTATTGATCCCGATTCTGGCCCTCTAGTCTCAGAAAGATTTACAGTGGAAGATTTACTTTGTTAGCTGTAACACACCAAAACGTTCTACTCAGATTTAGGTGCCAGGAAAAAGTAAATCTGAAATACAACTTCTATCTAAATGTGCCTAAAAGATCCATTGAACCATATTTATGCGTCACACTACATAACACAGACATGCTACAGCGCGATGAGTGTTTAAGTGACTGCAGCTTGTGTCTGCGCTGTGTATCAAAGGAGTTGGGGAGGTCATGATTTGTTGTCTCAGTAGAAATTGGCAGCTGAGACGCCGTTATTTTCCATCATCTATCATTTTATTGATTTGTCTATAAAAACAGTCAAACCTGCTGTCCGCGAGCTTTATTGCTTTCCCCCCTTTATTAGTTTGCAGTTTGGGACATCCAGAGCTGTCTCTCTCCCAACAGAGAACTAATCATTTTCTTCAGACACCTGTCACCACTCTAACAGACAACACTCCGACAACTGTTGCAATCAATTAGGCCCCAGTGATCCTGATCACCACAGAGCCACTGAGCCATGTCAAAGTGTCTCCATGAGGGAATCTCAGGGAAGCAATGATTAAAAAAAAAAAACATCTGGGCACTGTTTTCTAAAGTCACTGATGTAGAATGTAAAAACAACTTTCCTTTTGGAAATTAAGATCTTAAAATGATGATTATCTCTTAAATAATAGCTACATATTTTCACTTTGTACTGAAATATAAAAAAGGAATGGTTTTATTCATATCAATTACTTTTAACCGTTGGACAAACCCAATAATGCTGAAACACTAAGGTAAAAGACACATTAATTACAGAGGGTCAAAGGTCAGGCAGACACTCTACAAGTTTTTACAGCTAGCATTAAAGGTTTGCTGCTTTTTAAAAGATTACAGTTATTGTTACATTCATTAGCCTGTGCTTTCTCTCTGAATGAATGAATGAATGAATGCTACCATTGGCTTTGACTGTTAGACATACTCTGCAACTTTCAGCTGCTTCTCTACATGTATGCATTAAATACACTTGTGCTTATGTTAACCTCATTTTTTTTCAGCCTTTAATGTTCATTCAATAGAAAGTATTACTAATTCTGGTCTTTTTTCTTTGGCAAAGTTTATTTCATTGGCAGAGAGATCCACTTAACGATCTCTGCCAACAACTTTATGAGCTCTGCTTTTATTTCACACTGAAGGTACTCCACACTCACTTTTGTGTGTTTCTTTTCTTGACAAAGTAATACAGTAACCTATTTAAGTTATACAGAATATCATCTTTGTTCAATGCATCAAAGTTTAACAATGTCTCTTTCTTTAAAAAAACAAGCAACTGATGGAGCTGCCAGACTCTCACTTTAGCCCCGATAGGTCGCCTGTCCAGCTCAGGAAAAAAAAAAAAAAATCTTACCCAAGGAGTTTTTTGTGAATCTATTAACCAAATCTGCTTGTGTATTTTTAAACAGAGAAGATATAAAAACCATGCAGGAGCTCCCTGACCATTTGAATCCAGCTAGCAATAACCTGTCTCTGTGCGCGACCACGCCCCCCCTCGCAGAGGTTCTGCAACTGTAGTTGCACACCTAAAAAAAAATCCTGGCTACACTTCGGACAGTCGCAAACCCGCGCAGACCTCAAGCGGAAGCATGCAGACAAAAAGCAGCTGTGATTGGTCCTTGGTGTTCCTTTCTGGCTGTCTGTGTGGTCATCCTTCTCTGTTCGGTGCTGGGGAGCCGCATTTTTAAAAACCGAGGAACAACTACAATGGGCAACTACGACGAAAGGTTAATCGAGGAGGTTCGAAAGTACAACCACTTGTACGATGCCTCAGACAAATGATATAAATAAATATATCCTCTTCGATGTCTAGCAACTCTAGATCTATCTCCGTGACCGTGATATCTTGCAGACGCACCATTGTTGTTTTGGAAGATAAACACTACCACCGGCACCGCCAAAGTTCTCGTGACCATCCGCCAAAGTTCTCGTGACCATCCGCCAAAGTTCTCATGAATTCTCAAAGAGGCTCCCCCATGCGCTTTGGCGGGGAAACTGTTGTGCGTCCCTAGAAATTCCAGACCGCTGGTGCAGAAGCATACCAGCAAAACTGGTTCACGACCATACCCAAGTGACATTTGATGTGTGCGGTGACAGAAGTATAATCTGCCCTTGACGGTAACCTGGGGAAATTAGCTTCTCTTGACCATTTCCCTATCAACAATCCTACAGCCGGATGAAAACCAAACATGCTCGAAATTCAATCAGCCCTTGTGAGGTGATCATGTCCTGCTGTTGACGGAGAGCTATGAATGTCTACGAGCCGATGTACCTGAAAACAAGAAATTCTTCTTCTCAGACTTCACTTTACAGTTAGACGAAGTCTAAAGTTTTTGAACTTTTGAAGTGAGCCTAAAGTTTTTGAACATACACTATGAGCAGTCAGATCGCATCAGAGTACGAATTAAGAACAGATAAGAACAGATATCCTGAGCTGTGAACATTTAAACCCTGAGGTTTGGTTGTACAGTTTGAGCTGTAGCTGAGTAAAACAACTGAAAATATT